AGGTTATAGTACAAAGTGTAGGAACGGAAAATTGAATGGGAAAAAAAGAATAAGAATGTGAAGAAAAGAAAAACAGGGGGCTAGAATTGCATGAAATGGGTATAATAAACTAAGTGGGTATGATTGAAGTGGGTCTAGGTGAACTGGGTGTAACAAAATGAGCGGAGTTAACTAAATGTGTGGAAAATAGGAATAAGGCTATGAAGAAAAGCAGGGATGTCCCAAGCATTTTTGCTAGGGTGGGTGGATTGGTAGGGGTGGTGCACGTGACCCAGGGAATGGGGCCTCTGCATCATCTCTCCACCCAGCTCTGGCCAATGTCCCACCCAGTGACATGATCACTGGTTGTCAGAAAATGGGCTGTACGTGACGTCCAGAGCGTCCCCGGCTGCTATAAGCTGGGCGGAGAGATGTGTATGGCCTTTGCACATCTCCCCACCCGGCTCCCAGCAACCTGGGACGCTCTGGACGAAAAAGTGGCAGCGAAAAAAACACTGCAAACATTGGGCAGCAGGGCGGCCATGCCACTCTGCCTGCCCCCCCCTCCCCCCAAGCTGCCTCATTACAGGAACAGCCCTGAAGGAAAGTATTCACCACTTCCTATAAACTGTGTACCACAAATCAAATGTGCTCAGAGGAGCTCCAGTAACAGGTAAGAGTCAAATCATGTAAACCAACTTAAACTTAGGGCCCGTATTCACACAGACAGTAGTGACCTGGGTTTCACCGCACCGGATAAATGCAGGTCACCACCAGGACACAAAGAAAAACATTACTTTCTATGTGCCGTGTTCACACCACAACACATATGTGATAGGCGGTGCACTGTGAGACAAGTCACTGCATGGCAGCGCAGCGCACCGCATTGCTATTTGGGGACCTGAATGGAGTGTACACATTGTAATTTACCTATAAAGTTAAAACAATTCAAACAGTGACAGCTCCAGTAGTGTGCAATACAGTGATTTAGTGGACAGGCTAGCCCTAAATGAAAATGTGAAAGTGGAAAAAGGAAGAATAAATCCACAGGAATGGGTACAAAGTTAGAATCAATACCGAATGTTTGAGAAAATAGGAGAAACTATACAAATGGTGGCAAAATCAAGAAAAGAGTAGGCGCTGTAAAGACTTGTGTAAAAATGTCACCTTACACACAGGTAAAGTATATGTCAAGCCATTCTGATTTTGTACAGAATGGGCAAGGATTAGACCCGCTGTTGGGTTTACACAGCTATCTGGGGCACTGTTGGAGAGATTTCCCCCTCCTTCCTGTCCTGCTTATATCCGTTTCACCAGACACTAAGTAAGAGAAAATCAACAACAGGGATACATACACAAATAATTATCTGATAGGGGTTCTATCTATCCCATACTCTACTCATTCGTATTTCTCTTTGTGTTACTGTTGGAGACTTCCCATCACTTCATGTCTGATAAATGTCATAGCAGGACAGGAAGTGAGGAGAAATCCACACTGTTTATTGGTCCAGATACAGCTTTGTTCAATGTAGGGCTGTGGAAACAGCATGTAAATAGCTAACGTGTTTTGGGGTTTCATACAAATACCCTCTTCATCGAGGCTTACTAATCGAGAACATGTATCAGGACTGTGATGACTTGAAATTGGATATCGCTTTGTCCAGTGCCTGAGAATACATAGAGTTCGTCAGCAGCTTATTTGGCAGCAACGTATGGGGCGGAGCTTGTACAATTTACAATCAGTACTGTTCTTAACGGTATCTATGGTCAAAAACTACAAATAAATATGTATTTATATTTTTCATAAGTCCTATCCCATTCCTAATATCCATATCAATCTAGAAGTTTGTAAACTGAAGATGCCCAAAGGATGTACTTCCTCAATTATTATTATTATTATTATTATTATACAGGATTTATAAAGCGCCAATTGTTTGCACAGCGCTTTACAATATAAGGAAGACATTACAGTCACAATACAATTTAAGACTAGATGGTTAGGAGGGCCCTGCCCGTGAGGGCTTACAATCTAAAAGGGAGGGGGAAGTGACACATGAGGAGGTAGCTGCGCAGGGAAGATTGTTTGAGAAAGTGATTGTTCAGTGGTTAGGGTGAGGTGGGATAGGCTTCACTGAAGAGATGAGTCTTAAGGGATCGCCTAAAGGCAGTCAGTGTGGGAGATAGACGGACAGGTTGGGGTAGAGAGTTCCATAGGATGGGAGACACTCTAGTGAAGTCCTGGAGGCGAGCATGGGAGGAGTTGATGACGGAGCTGTAAAGCAGGAGGTCTTGTGAAGAGTGGAGGGGACGGTTAGGGTAAAACTTTGAGACCAGGTTGGAGATATAGCCGGGGCCAGAGTTGTGGATGGCTTTGTACGCGGTTGTTAATATTTTGAATTTTATCCTTTGGGCGATTGGAAGCCAGTGCAGGGATTGGCAGAGGGGGGTTGCAGACACTGAGTGGTTGGTTAGGTGGATGAGTCTGGCAGCTGCATTCATGATAGACTGAAGGGGGGATAGCCTGTGTAGAGGTAGGCCAATGAGGAGGGAGTTGCAATAGTCAAGAGGAGAGATAACAAGGGAGTGGATGAGTAATTTTGTGGTTTCTTTGGTGAGGAAGGGTCGTATTTTGGAAATGTTGCGAAGGTGAAGGCGGCAGGATTTGGATAGTGATTGGATGTGGGGAAGAAAAGAGAGGTCCGAGTCAAGGATGACACCTAGGACCTTGGCATGGCTGGAGGGCTGGATAGTTGTGTTAACAATGTCAAGGGAAAAGTTGGGGGAAGGTGCACAGGCAGGAGGAAATATCATGAGCTCAGTTTTTGAAAGGTTGAGTTTTAAGAAGTGTTGCGACATCCAGACAGATATTTCAGTAAGTAGATTAGTGACACGCAAGGACACTGAGGGGGAGAGTTGCGGAGTAGAGAGATAGATTTGAGTGTCATCGGCATAGAGATGGTATTGGAAGCCATGTGTGGTTATTAACTGACCAAGAGAGGAGGTGTAGATAAAGAAGAGAAGGGGTTCAAGGACAGAGCCTTGGGGGACCCCTACAGAAAGAGGAAGAGGAGGGGAGGAGTTAGATTTGTAGGTGACACTAAAGGAGCGCTTAGACAGGTAAGAGGAGAACCATGAGAGAGCAGAGTCTTGTAGGCCAAGTGAGTGGAGTTTTTTGAGGAGGAGCAGGTGGTCCACAGTGTCAAAAGCAGCAGAAAGGTCTAATAGCAAGAGTAAGGAATAGTGGCCATTGTGTTTAGCTGTTATTAAGTCATTAGTGAGTTTTAGGAGGGCGGTTTCAGTGGAGTGTAGGGGGCGAAAGCCGGACTGTAAGGGATCAAGAAGGTTATTATCAGCGAGGTGGCGGCTGTAGATAAGGCGTTCTATGAGTTTGGAGGTGAATGGGAGTAAGGAGATTGGTCTGAGATTGTTAAGGTTGGTAGGGTCTATTGATGGTTTTTGGTGTATTGGGGTGACCAGGGCATGCTTTAGAGGGGAACGAAAGATTCCAGTAGAGAGGGAGAGATTGAAAATGTGAGTAAGAGAGTGTAGGATAGACTATGAGGGTGACCGATGTAGTGGTGAGGGAACAGGGTCCAGGGGGCAGGTGGTGAGGTGGGTGTCAGAGAGAAGCTTTGTAACCTCCTCTGTGGTGACCGGGTCAAAAGAGGAGAGTGACAAGTGTGATGGTGGGTCTGGAACATGAATAGGGGAAGGTGGCTGCACAGTGGCGATCTGATCCCGAATTGTATCTATTTTGTTTTTGAAATGAGTGGCAATGTCCTGGGCAGTCAGCGAGTTATTAGGTGGTGGCGGTGGGGGACATAGTAGAGAGTTAAAAGTGGAAAAGAGTTGACGAGGTTTGGATGAGAGTGTGTTAATGAGAGTAACAAAATAAGTCTGTTTGGCAGCACGGAGGAAGGAATTATATTTTAGGAGGGCAGCTTTATACAAGGTGAAATCTTGCAGAGATCTAGTTTTTCGCCACAGTCGTTCAAGAGCGCGACTATGTCTTTTTAGATGTCTGGTTTCTTTTGTTTGCCACGGTTGTAGTGGACGTGGTCTAAGTCTGCGTGTAGTGAGGGGAGCCAAAGTGTCTAGGGAGGATGAAAGTGAGCTGTTGAAGACAGAAATAGCCAGGTCAGGGCAGGACAGGGGTGAGATTTTGTCATAGAGGTAGTCAGTAGCAGAGTAGAGAAGAGAAGAGTCGAGGTGGCGAAGGTTTCTCCGGGTGACAGTGTGACGTGTAGGGGGAGTCAGTGTTGGGGACAGGGTGAGGGTGAAACTGATAAGGTTGTGGTCTGAGAGGGGGAAAGGGGTGTTGGAGAGGTTGCAAGTAGTGCATAGGTGGGAGAAAACAAGATCTAGTATGTTACCATCAGAGTGAGTAGGAGTGTCTGACCACTGTGTTAGATCAAAAGAAGAGGTTAGGTTAAGAAATTGAGCAGAAGCCGGGGTGGGGGTGTTAATGTTAGTAGCAATGTTAAAGTCAATGCACTGACACCATTTCACTCAGACCTGTGAATGTGCATTTTTGTGTCAGCACTCTCACAAAGCCTGCCTTCTGAACTATAAATCAACATCTGAACAATGTCACATTGGCATTGCTTGCTGGAAGCAATGCATGATGGGATATGTAGTCTTGAGAAATTGAGATTAAATCACATCAAAAAGCAGGAAAAGAGATGCAAAGCACACTGGGAATCCAGGAAGTTGTTGGAAGTGATGGGCAGACAGAAGCCAGCACTCACTACATAAAAATTATTTTTTCATGTAAGCTTTGATTGCATTATAAACAACAACTCCATTACATTCCTATTACAATGCTGATGTTATAACAGGAAAGTATATGCTGGGACTTTACAGCTCCTTTAAGACATGAAAGCTAAACTGTGCCTGGTTAGTGTATGTTACTGAAGTTTACTCTGTATAGAATGTGATGTAAAAGATTCAAAGCACAGAACAAAGTTTAAGTAGAAGAATGATATTCCTTATGCTCAATACTAATTGTATGTGTCTGTCAGGACATCAAGGGACACAACTGGGCAGAGGAAGACTCTGATGGGGAAAATGAATGTGGGGAGTTCCTTTATGGAGTACAGGTATGATATTTATTACTGAACTATTGCTGCCACAACATTGCAAACTGATACATGCAGATTGATACAGGAAGGCTACGGTCATAACAAGCAAGCTCTATATTATTGTGGAAGAAATCAGTACACTGTCATGCAGCTCAATTACAAAGCCAATAGACAAAATTTACAGTTGTGAGAAAAGGTTTAGGTGAGCCTTTAAATTTGTTTTTGATTTGCCCAAGCATGGCTCCCAAACGGTGATCTGACCTTCATTTTAAATATGACAATAAGTCTAATTTAAGGAAAACATTTATTATTAATAATAGACTTTGCATTTGACCCACCCCGCCTTGTCCTTTCTATCAAACTTCCCAGAACCAGCACAGGCCTAAAATGCAGGGGTGGGCTGTGTTTATGTCCTCTTTACCAAAAACATTTGCCTTACAAGGGCTGTAATAATGAGAACAACTGGGTACTGCAAAAAACACAGAACATTGTCACATTGTTCTCTTGATAAGGACCTTTTATTTTGATCTTGGTATTTCTTGAATTAAATGTCTTGTTATAGTATACTTTTTATGTAATCTGATGAGACCCTTCTGAAACCACAGGGCACGTGCTGTGCTGACCTGTACAGACACCCTCAGCTAGATGCAGACATTGAAGCTGTAAAGGAGATATACGGGGAAAACGCTGTATCTGTAAGGTATGTAAAGCTGGCACTTCCTTTATTATCTGCTCCTACCCATGTATCAATGTTTTTATTGTTTTGTACCTCACCTTGGTAAATCCCGCTACATTAAAAAGTAGAAATCACACAAATTGGTCTATAGAGAATACATGCTACGTACATCTTAAAAGAGACAGCTCCTGACTGGATTTAAAAGAATGCCTACATTCTCTAATCAGATCATGAAAGTTTAAACATGTACATTCAATGCTTTCTAGATGTGCTTATTTTCTGTTCAGTCAAGACTTTAAGGAACAATTTCACCCAAAATGGATTATGATACTTTTGTATAAAGTGGGGCAAGGTTTATTACCAATTTGGGTGTTTAAAATGGCCATACATGGAGCAAATTTCAGCTGATAAACCTCCCAAATTTCAGGCTGTGGATGGCCCTGCTGGCACCTGTCCATTTGATATAAGCCAATTTATCAAATGACTTTTGTCAAAGGAGCCTCTTTTGGGTCAAACAGTACCTGCATCCAATTAGATGCAGGATCTGCCCGGGTATTCAGCAGCCACTGGAACATACAATAGCCGGCAGCGTTGATTCCTCTATCCATACTGTATAGTGTCATCCACACTCAGCAGTATGGATGGAGAAATCTCCGTTGATTAGGGTATTAATGATTTTATCTTGTTTAGGCCGTGGGTATTATGGCTATTCTAGGGTGAGGGAAGTACTGGATAGAAAAAAAAGTCCAACAGAGTTCGAGCTCTGCCCTACTCTACACCAAAATTTAGAAATTAAGTTAAGGCTAGGTTGCTTCATATAGGGCTCATTCACACGAGCGTTCACAGCCAAATGTCATGCAAACCCATGCAGAGACCTGGGCCCAGGAGAGACAAGTGATGGGTGTAATTGCGTGCAGCTGTCATCTGTACATCCCTATGGAAGGACGCGGCTGCACGAAGCTACATGCCAACCCCCAACTTGCACATACAAGTGCGGGCACCCCGACCTGCACGGAGGGCAGCCACGTCCTCCCATGGGGAGGTACAGGCGGCTGTACACAATTACATGCAGTACCTGTTCCCTCTGGGAGCAGGCCTCTGTACGGGCGTGCATACAATACATATGTGCACGCCCATCTGAATGAGCCCATACAAGTGATAACATTGCAGGTGTTACACTTCAATATAAACGTCATCATAAACCAAATAGAACATATTTGGTTGTGAATTTTTAGAAAAATGATTCGCACAATTGCTGAATTTATAAGATCTATTGCCATTAATTTCTAATTACTGAATTCTGCAAGTCTGTGACCTTACTGGCCTTAATGCTTTTATTTCACTGTTTCCTTTTCCAGGGAGTATGGGACCATTGATGATGCTGACATCGACCTGCACATTAACATTAGTTTTCTGGATGTAAGACTCTCTTTCTTTATTTGTCTGCTCATTATTTTCTCTTGCTCTTTTCAGACAATTGCATTGCACTGATCCTCCACCTCAGTTTGCACATACAATATATATATATATCTTACCAGTTCTTTCTCCAGTAGATATTTTCTGATGCTAACGCGTTAAACCCTCTGACCCTTTTTTGGGTATTATGTTAGTAAGATCCCTGCTTTTGTGTGCCTACGTTTACACACTTGCTGCTACGAATTATGAGCGGGGTCCCACCAGATTCCACAGACTAACCTTTTAAATGATATAAACATCCTTACATTTAAAGAATTTATAGCAATATAATTATAGACATACGAGACAACGTTTGCCCCATTAAGAAATATACATTTTTGGTTTCACCAAAATTGTTACTTAAAACTAAACTCTAGCTCAACAGCAAAATACACAGTTGAAATACATTTATGTTATTTTATGCTTTTTTTCCCCCAGGAATAAATCTATACTTCTGGCAGCTACTCTTGTGGGTCATATTCTGCTACAATGCTCAGCCAATAGTGTGGCACAACTATTTCTTGCTGCAGTTTTGCAGCTTCTGTATCATCTGTTTATTCACTCTCTGGATTATGAGTGATGTCCTTCCTGTGTTCATCTCTTACAGCCTTGACCCCTTGTGGTGGGTTTACCAAAGGCAATTCCGTTGTTCACTTTGAAAGTGACTTTGCACTTCACAAGGGGATTTTCAATTTAGCTTAGTGAACGAGGTGAAGCTCTGATGGCTTCCATCATCAAATCATGTGCAGGCAAAAATACCTTTTTTTTGTAATTATTATTTTCCTTGCTCTTGATTGGGTATCCTTTGCAAAGTGAATTTTTACCACAGTTACCAAGCTAAGTGCAAATTCCCTTGCAATGTGAACAGTCTATTTGTCTTTAGTAAATCATCCTCCTTCCCTCTACCTCCCAGTGCCTTCACATTGTTAGATTGCCAGCGATGAAGAATAGGCAATAAATCCTGATTGGCTTACTGTTTAAACTTCCATTTCCATCCTGATATCTTCTGTGTAAAGGATTGTGCACACATAGCACAGAAACGTATTTTAGGCAGTTTTGTAATGAATCTAAAGCTAGACCAAGTTCCATTTTAAGAGAAAATATGTTTCCATTATCAATAATTTCTCTATGTAGTTCATACTTCACGTGCACGCATTTGCAGTTTTAAGGAGGAACTAATCTAATCAACTCTACAGCAAACAGCAGGGTGTTCTCTTCTTATACAGAAACCCCGAAGTGAGGTTGTATTCCAGGAGGGAATAAAGAGATGGATCTAATGATGGAAGCTAATCAGCCTTAAGTAGATATTTTTGGGAAAGGAAAAATGCACACATGGAGAAAAACCTTTATATATGTTATGTTTTATATGAATGATGTGGATAATAGTCTCTCTTTAATCTTTTCCCTTGCCTGCAGGAGGAGGTAGCCACTGCCTGGAAAGTAATCCGCACAGAGCCCATAGTCCTTCGCTTGCGCTTTTCACTTTCTCAGTATCTGGATGGTCCTGGTGAGTCCTGTCTGCCACACGCTGATCTCCACAGTGCACCGCTTTTCCCACCTAAATTTTATTGCAGTGTTAGGAAATATTAAAATATGCATGCAGCATGAATACCACGCAGCTGTGTATAAAATGAGGAACTAAGAAAGGGTAACAAGGGGTAGAGCGGTATATTATTTAGTACCATTGCAAGAGATCATTTTAGCCTCTACATCAGGGGTAGCCAAATGTCCGCCCTCCAGCTGTGGCGAATACTAAAAATCCTATTAGGTATTGCAAGACACTGACAGCCACACAGGTATGACTACCAGAGGCGGGTGCACAATGGAGGGGCAAAGTTTGGTTACCTGTGCTCCAAATGGACCCAAGTATATCAATGCATAAATAACAAGACCAGGCTGTTTATATATTTTGTAACAATAAAAAAGTGTTTATTGATTGGTGTCATGCGTGCTGCAAATGCTAAATCAGCCTAAATAAAAATAATATTGAAATGCTCTATTTCATTTATTTGCATTCATTTTTGTTGTAGAGCCTACCATTGACGTCTTTCAGCCATCAAACAGAGATAACTTTGGGCTGGGAATACAGTTAAAGAAGTAAGTTTGAGAAGGATATTTATATCCATTCCATATAAATTAAATCAGAATTGATCTTTAATTTGGTGATGTTCGACGTCATGTTTAAATGCAAGAGGAAAGTGGTGGCTTTTAGATGTATGCTTTTATTTTCTGCCTGTCCCAGAATACATATTCAGGAATTGAATTACTTGCATTCAAACAGACCTTTACACTCAAATATAAAATTCTACCATTGGATTTCTCTATTTATTCTGATTAATATTAAAATAGACATGTCAGGTGTAAAATACTGTGATTTTGAAATGCTTACACTTGCAGAACATTCACTTCCTGCTTTGAAAGTGCAAATTACTTCAGTTTGCCAACGCAATACACACTGGAATTGCCTTGTCATCAGCAGAGCATTGCTGGGAAATCTCATCTGTAATCTCATGAGATCTCAGGGAAAGGCATTTTCATCCCCTGAGATGATGTGCATGGTCATAGTCCTAGTCACATGTGCCAGGGTTCCAGGAAGTGAAGGGAGAGCTAGTAACCTGCCCTTAGTAAACATGGTCACTGTCAGAAGAATGGGAAAGAAAAGAGAACTAAGCTATGCACACCCGGCAGTTATCTAGAAGTATGTGTTTCTAGATTGTCACTACTAAACAAAAGGTGCCTTTGTTGTTATTTTAAAGATATGGGTGAAGGCCCACATTAACAATGTAATATAATGATATGTATATATTGATATAAAGTGTGTGATATATAATCATTAGAATTTTCTCCATTGTCTGTTTTCTTTTATGTTGTTGTATGCTGTGGTTTTGCTTTTTTACACATTAACCACTTCTATAGATTTTACCTATCCTGTTCCCTTTTCTTTAATCATGTCTGTAAGGCCCTGTTCACACCTTTACGTTTTGTCGCGCGTTCAACGCTCTATGAACGCTCTACAAAACGTACAAACATGAAAATCCCATTGTTTTCTATGGGTATGGTCCACACCTTTCCGTATTTCCGCCCGTCTGAATGCCCTACAAAACGGCCTACGCCCAAACAAGTACATGTACTTCTTTGGGCCGTTTTTGTTGGGCGTTTCCATTGGGATACAGCCAAGTTAGCCCTCGGAAACGCGTGTTTTTTTACCGCGAATCGCGGTAAAAAAAAACGCGCGGCAGACGGGCATATTCAATACGCCTAGGTGTGAACCCAGCCTAAGTTTTCTCTTGCCATAACCTGCACTGTGCCTACATTTTATGCCCTGGATAACATTCTAATTTCTAATTTTCTTGTTCTAACAGTACACACTCTGTCATCCTCCCGCTTTTTTATTTTCTTCTCCATCCCTTTTTTCTGTTTCCTCAGGATCCTGTCCCTCTTCTCGTCTCATCAGTGGCGGTATCTCAGTAATGAGGTCTTACGCTCACAGCAGGAGAGAAGGCTACGTTGGCTTAGAGTCAGTGGTAGTATTAAAAGGTTTCGAGCTGGGTTGAGCATCTTTTCTCCAGTCCCTAAGTGAGCATCTTCAAAGCTGTTCATGTCTTTTCACACTCATTTTCTTAGCCACTGCTGTCTATAAGTTTCTGCCTCTTGAATTTAGATCTGTACTCCATGAAGATATAAAAGTACAATTTAATGCAGTTATGTATTCATTATTAAACATTAAATGTGCTTTAGATGTAATTATTGCAAGCAAGAAAAGCTGTCTTGATATGAGTCTCCTTTAACTACCTCCGGGCCGGCGGTTGTAAAAAAAATGGCCAGCCGGGAGCTCTCTAGATCTGACCGGGCGTCTTTAGACGTCCGCTCAGACACGCCCAATAGCGGGAATAGCCCGATATTTAAAAAGAGCCGGCGGATCGCTTATATGGGATATCGATCGTTGCCCTCTCCCCCCGCCGTTGTCCTGCTGGTCCCGGGCTCCGATGTGCCCGGTGCGAGCCCGGGATCAGCATGGCGCCTGTGTCACAGGGGATCAGAGGGAGATCGTTACACGAGCTCCCTCTGGTCCCCTCTCCTCTGCAAGAATGCAGAAGTGTTGTATATTACATCACTTCCGCATTCTTGTGTCACTCTCCAGCTTCAGAAGCTGGAAAGAAGCTGATGGAGCAGATCTGTGCTTCATCAGCTTCTTTTGGGGGGTCCTAGGTGACATTAGGGGTCTTGGAGACCCCTGATGTCTCCTTAAAGAGGACCTGTCACATATTTTGCTATCACATAGGGG